CGAAACTTAACTAAACACATTTTCTTGTAGATTTCGAGCTCTAGAACCCACTTCCGGCCTCGTTTCTTTGATAAATGCAATCATTTTTCCAGAATCGACCGTTGAAATATCGAAATTTTTAGAAATTTAAAAAAATTCGCATTTAATACCGATTCTAGCGAAAATTTTGCTCCGTGACCATAAACATTCTATATTTTTGGAATTAGCAAGTCGAGATCTACATCCTTGAATTTTTTCAGAATTTTTAGACAACTTTTTTAAAAGTGAAATATTTCCAATGGTCCCCCCTTCTTCAATTTTCGGCCAAAATTTGACATTTTCGAAACTTAACTAAACACATTCTCTTGTAGATTTCGAGCTCTAGAACTCACTTCCGGTCTCATTTCTTTGATGACTGCAACCTTTTTTCCAGAATCGACCGTTGAAATATCGAAATTTTTAGAAATTTTTAAAAATTCGCGTTAATACCGATTCTAGCGAAAATTTTGCTCCGTGACCATAAACATTCTATATTTTTGGAATCAACAAGTCGAGATCTACATCCTTGAATTTTTTCAGAATTTTTAAACAACCTTTTTAAAAGTGAAATTTTTCCAATGGTCCTCCCTTCTTCAAATTTCGGCCAAAATTTGACATTTTCGAAACTTAACTAAACACATTTTCTTGTAGATTTCGAGCTCTAGAACTCACTTCCGGTCTCGTTTCTTTGATAACTGCAACCGTTTTTCCGGAATCAACTGTTGAAATATCGAAATTTTTAGTAATTTCAAAAAATTCGCATTTCATACTGATTCTAGCGAAAATTTTCCTCTGTGACCATAAACATTCTATATTTTTGGAATCAGCAAGTCGAGATCTACATCCCTGAATTTTTTCAGAATTTTTAGACAACTTTTTTAAAAGTGAAATTTTTCCAATGGTCCCCCCCCTCTTCAAATTTCGGCCAAATTTTGACATTTTCGAAACTTAACTAAACACATTTTCTTGTAGAATTCAAGCTCTAGAACTCACTTCCGGCCTCGTTTCTTTGATAACTGCAACCGTTTTTCCAGAATCGACCGTTGAAATATCGAAATTTTTAGTAATTTCAAAAAATTCGCATTTCATACTGATTCTAGCGAAAACTTTCCTCTGTGACCATAAATATTCTATATTTTTGGAATCAGCAACTCGAGATCTACATCCATGAATTTTTTCAGAATTTTTAGACAACTTTTTTAAAAGTGAAATTTTTCCAATGGTCCCCCCCTTCTTCAAATTTCGGCCAAAATGTGACATTTTTGAAACTTAACTAAACACTTTTTCGTGTAGATTTCGAGCTCTAGAACTCACTCCCGGCCTCGTTTCTTTGATAACTGCAACCGTTTTTCCAGAATCGACCGTTGAAATATCGACATTTTTAGAAATTTTAAAAAATTCGCATTTAATACCGATTCTAGCGAAAATTTTGTTCCGTGACCATAAACATTCTATATTTTTGGAATCAGCAAGTCGAGATCTACATCCCTGAATTTTTTCAGAATTTTTAGACAACTTTTTTAGCAGTGAAATTTTTCCAATGGTCCCCCCTTCTTCAAATTTCGGCCAAAATTTGACATTTTCGAAACTTAACAAATTACATTTCCTTGTAGATTTCGAACTCTAGAACTCACTTCCGGCATCGTTTCTTTGATTAGTGTAACCGTTTTTCCAGAATCGACCGTTGAAATATCGAAATTATTATAAATTTTAAAAAATTCGCATTTCATACCGATTTTAACGAAAATTTTGCTCCGTGACCATAAACATTCTATATTTTTGGAATCAGCAAGTCCGGAGCTACATGCCTGAATTTTTTCAGAATTTTTAGACAACTTTTTTAAAAGTGAAATTTTTCCAATGGTCCCCCCCTTCTTCAAATTTCGGCCAAAATGTGACATTTTTGAAACTTAACTAAACACTTTTTCGTGTAGATTTCGAGCTCTAGAACTCACTCCCGGCGTCGTTTCTTTGATAACTGCAACCGTTTTTCCAGAATCGACCGTTGAAATATCGACATTTTTAGAAATTTTAAAAAATTCGCATTTAATACCGATTCTAGCGAAAATTTTGTTCCGTGACCATAAACATTCTATATTTTTGGAATCAGCAAGTCGAGATCTACATCCCTGAATTTTTTCAGAATTTTTAGACAACTTTTTTAGCAGTGAAATTTTTCCAATGGTCCCCCCTTCTTCAAATTTCGGCCAAATTTTGACATTTTCGAAACTTAACAAAATACATTTCCTTGTAGATTTCGAACTCTAGAACTCACTTCCGGCATCGTTTCTTTGATTAGTGTAACCGTTTTTCCAGAATCGACCGTTGAAATATCGAAATTATTATAAATTTTAAAAAATTCGCATTTCATACCGATTTTAACGAAAATTTTGCTCCGTGACCATAAACATTCTATATTTTTGGAATCAGCAAGTCCGGAGCTACATGCCTGAATTTTTTCAGAATTTTTAGACAACTTTTTTAAAAGTGAAATTTTTCCAATGGTCCCCCCCTTCTTCAAATTTCGGCCAAAATGTGACATTTTTGAAACTTAACTAAACACTTTTTCGTGTAGATTTCGAGCTCTAGAACTCACTCCCGGCGTCGTTTCTTTGATAACTGCAACCGTTTTTCCAGAATCGACCGTTGAAATATCGACATTTTTAGAAATTTTAAAAAATTCGCATTTAATACCGATTCTAGCGAAAATTTTGTTCCGTGACCATAAACATTCTATATTTTTGGAATCAGCAAGTCGAGATCTACATCCCTGAATTTTTTCAGAATTTTTAGACAACTTTTTTAGCAGTGAAATTTTTCCAATGGTCCCCCCTTCTTCAAATTTCGGCCAAATTTTGACATTTTCGAAACTTAACAAAATACATTTCCTTGTAGATTTCGAACTCTAGAACTCACTTCCGGCATCGTTTCTTTGATTAGTGTAACCGTTTTTCCAGAATCGACCTTTGAAATATCGAAATTATTAGAAATTTTAAAAAAATCGCATTTCATACCGGTTTTAACGAAAATTTTGCTCCGTGAGCATAAACATTCTATATTTTTGGAATCAGCAAGTCCGGATCTACATGCCTGAATTTTTTCAGAATTTTTAGACAACTTTTTTAAAAGTGAAATTTTTCAAATGGTCCCCCCTTCTTCAAATTTCGGCCAAAATTTGACATTTTCGAAACTTAACTAAACACATTTCCTTGTAGATCTCGAGCTCTAGAACTCACTTCCGGCCTCGTTTCTTTGATAACTGCAACCGTTTTTCCAGAATCGACCGTTGAAATATCGGAATTTTTAGAAATTTCAAAAAATTCGTATTTAATACCGATTCTTGCGAAAATTTTGCTCCGTGACCATAAATATTCTATATTTTTGGAATCAGCAAGTCGAGATCTACATCCTTGAATTTTTTCAGAACTTTTAGACAACTTTTTTAAAAGTGAAATTTTTCCAATGGTCCCCCCTTCTTCAATTTTCGGCCAAAATTTGCCATTTTCGAAACTTAACTAAACACATTTTCTTGTAGATCTCGAGCTCTAGAACTCACTTCCGGCATCGTTTCTTTGATAACTGCAACCGTTTTTCCAGAATCGACCGTTGAAATATCGAAATTTTTAGAAATATCAAAAAATTCTCATTTCACACCGACTCTAACGAAAATTTTGCTCCGTGACCATAAACATTCTATATTTTTGGAATCAGCAAGTCGAGATCTACATCCCTGAATTTTTTCAGAATTTTTAGACAACTTTTTTAAAAGTGAAATTTTTCCAATGGTCCCCCCTTCTTCAAATTTCGGCCAAAATTTGACATTTTCGAAACTTAACTAAACGCATTTTTTAATAGATTTCGAGCTCTAGAACTCACTTCCGGCCTCGTTTTTTTGATAACTGCAATCGTTTTTCCAGAATCGACTATTGAAATATCGACATTTTTAGAAATTTTAAAAAATTCGCATTTCATACTGATCATTACCACTCGTTAATTGGACATGACGTCATCACGTTTTTGGAAAACATGAATAACAAATTTTTGATTATCTATCTTAGCCAGAAACTTCAAGTCATTGGTTCTATAGTTTTGGACATTATCTATGCGTAATGTATCCTGCTAGCCGACGGAAATTGAAAAACGCCAAAAATTATGAGTATATCTTGTATATTTTAGTATTATCTGCATTCTCACAGCCTAGTGCTCAATAAATCCAACAATTATTACCCTGAAAAATTTAGAGGAAATCAATACATACGGAAAGCATTTTAAGGAAAAACAAGAATATTAAATTGTTTCAATAAACCGAATGGCAATAAGTCCCAATTTAATATTTTCATATGATTAAACACCAGTTCGAGTGGACGATATATTGGAAATTTATTCATTGGACATTTGATTACCTACCGAAAAATGTAATAAAGGATTTGCAGATGGAATAAAACCTTTGTAATATATTTCTTTAAGGTGATTTACGTAAAACTCCACGCATTTGTAGTACACAAGTGCCACAGATGGCAGTGTGAATTGTTCAATAAAAATGAAAAATAACACGTTATTCAGTTTTTAATATACTACTCATCTTATCATTAAACCTAGTTTTTATCTCATGTCGATATCCTTCTGAATAAGGGAACCACTGTATTGGAAACAAAATCGGGAATAGGTGTGAGCACTTAATGCAGTTTTGGGCAGATATAATATGAATCTTTAATAATATGTAGATATATTGATATCAAATACATATGATTAAAATTCGATTTAGATATTATATCGATTGTACTAAGTGGATACGAAATAACCTTCGCTTACCTAGACGACTATTCTCCTCAACTGCAAGAAATTCCTATTGTACACCTTCGCTATGACCGCAAAATTCATTTAGAGTAATTTAATTTAATTTAATTAATTATTTAATTTAATAGTTCAAGTAGATATATGTCGTCTCACGTAGAGCAAACACGCTAATGTCGCAGGCTTACCGGGTGGTGGTGGTGGGTTTGGTGGTGGTGATGAGCGGCGGTGTGGTGGCCCGCATGTGAAGGGGCGTGTTCCTCTTCACTGTCTTCTTCAGATGAAGATGGATCAATCATCTTCCTTGCTTCTCTCGTCCAATCTGAAAAAACGTTAAAGAAGTTTATTAGCGAAGCCCGGCATGAGACGAGAAAATCAATACTTTAGGGTTTTGTTTTATTTTATAACTACTAAACCAGAAGAATTTTAAACGCGCAATAACTGGAATGAATTCCGCAACAACGCACAGCGCCCAAACATTATATTAATTTGAAGAAAAAAAATGCCTGTGCTGCGGTGTTTACTTGGAAATATAGAGAGATATTGTTACATAACATGTGTAAGTGACTGCAGGATTCAGTTATTGTATTGCTTTGAAAAAACAGATATAGAATGCCTCGCTTGTGAGGGAATGTTTACAGGTTTCATTGTGGCTTTATGGAAAATTTTCAAAGCGATCTGGATGAGTGAAACGTGATTTAAGATCTCTTTGACGTGAAAATCTCAGTCAGACCAAAGATTTGTGCTTTAGTGTGCAGAATTCACATGTGTCGGATTAATCACCACATGAAAAACTGTACACACAAAATATCGCCGATCTAAACACACTCACTGACTTATTTTGTGAACAAAATTCTATAAGCTCACTGTGTACGTTTACACTGTATAATGACTTTCTTTGTAAATTGTCATTTATTTGTCTCTTCTAGCAATATTGATATTTACGTGCCTATCGTTGTCTTTTTTTATAGTTTGTTTTGTTGTCTGGTCCAAGAAAATATTTATCCAGAACAAACCACTCCTACCAAAATCGAGTCAAATTTGAGTGAAAATTTCATTTTCATAAATCTACATTTTATGCAACTGTATTGAAATAACAATTATTTATGATAATAAGTGCCGGCTAATTAATTGATTTTATTACCAAAACACAATTATTGTACAGAAGTTTTTAGAATTGACACTTGCCATTGTTTATTAGTTATAGTTTATTCGTGACAAGTTAACACGGCTGTGAAATCTAATATTTATTTTTATAGTTATTTCAGTTATTTAAATCGTTACTGAAGTTTATTGAGCGAATAGGAATAATTTATTCTAAATCATCCGGCGCTTGATGCTAATGACAGCAGTAAAAATATTCAGCAGACAAACAATAATCGATACTTCCAAACAAAACAACTTAAGAAAAACTAATTGAGTTTGTTTAACTTTCAAGAACTTCCGAAGTTATTACAATAAACATGAATTATTAATTAAAATTGTGAGTGGAAAATAGCTGCATTTATTTACTTCAATTAACTGCAATAAATGGAATTTTAAGTGGAGTTACAATATAAAAGCGGAAAGTACTCGAAAATAATTTGTTACTTCTGCTCCTTCTGAACTTCCAAGACGGTTTTTAATTAAAAATATAAGACGAACGAAAGACGATAAAACCAGAGAAAATTCCTTTATAATTATGTCTAACACACAGGACTTATTTTCGGTTGATATGCTACAGCAAATCGGCTTTTCTTCTAATTATGTCGTGCTCATTAAATTAAGGAAAACTCCATCAGAGATCGTAAATAAAAAAGAAAACAGAGGATCGTCAGCTCTGAAAAAATTGAGCTGAATCCTACGCTGATTGCTCGTAAAAAACACAACAAAAAAAGCTTTTTAAACAACAACAACATCAATTAAATAACTGAGTCGTAGGATGCTACGAATAACAAAGACTCTTGAACTTGGGATTCGCTAGAATTGAAAAATAAAATCCACCTTTTGAACTCTCGGAACGCATGAATACATTTTGAGTGTTGGAACGAAGTTTATGAAGAAAATTGAGCGTCACACAGTTTTGCCGTTAATAGACGACTAATAAGTTAATAAGACAAGGTGACGGCATGTCTCCCATGCTGTTCATTCAATTTAGAGATGATATTAAAGGAGGGTAATATTTTTTCGAGTTGATCCAAGATTTGAATATCTAGAAGTGACATTAACAAATAAAAGCGAAGACGATGGGGGATTGAAGAAAAAGGTTGAAGAGGGAGTGGAGTGGCAGGATTGGATCAAGTAAACTTTTAACATCTGAAGCACATATATGTATATACAGCAAAACCTCTCTACAACGGACAGCTGTGGTGGCTCAGAAATTATTGTTGTTATTATATTTGTTGTATACGTATACTGAATATATACTGTGAGATTATCCCAAGACAGGTAGATATTTATACTTTCTCACTTAAGTGAAATAACCGCCACTTTTTCGTTATTAAATTCCTAACATTTTATTTGCGAGAAACATACCTAACGATAAGAAGATTTAAGAATTTAGGAAATAATGAATTACCGGTGCAGTGCTGCCGACAATCATTTGAAAGGATTTAACATACACTTTTAAAATTAATTTTTGGGAAAACCGGTAAACCCTACAATGGATTAAATGGAATAACGAGAAAACCATTAGTATGTTATGATAGGGTACCGTGGGCGGTACTCAAAATTAGTTAATCCGTCAACAGTACCTGAGCTGTTTACCAGATATAATAACAAATAAATCTGTCCCTTGTGCAGAGGTAAATTTCTATGAAAATTATTAAAATGGTACCAAATTTTACCGTCCGCGTTCGCTGTTGAGAAGGTCCGTTGTTAGGAGGTTTTACTTGATTACATTTGCTAATACACTTTCAGTTTCTTAAAAATTGTCCGTTGATTAGAGGTGTCCGTTCAAGGATTTTATGAAAAAGACAAACAAGTCAGGAAGTAGTTTAGCATTACTAGGGTAGTTCACGCTCGGGAGATAATATGTTAGAACTTCTGGCACCGTTTCCAAGATGGAGGATTAAAATGGTATTGAAGACGGATAAAGGAACCAATTTAGAGTAAGTAAGAGTACCCGGTGGAAAAGAGAGTCTCAAGACAGAGGATTGTGGAAAGGCGCTTATGAAGCCACATTATGTCTAGCGACGGAAACTCAAAAGATAATTAAACGTGTCTGATCTCGTACACCAATTTTTTTCGACATGCTTTGCTATCTGTTTGGAATCTATTTGTATACATGAATCATTATCAGACAAGGATAACCCTATCCCGTAATCCGTAAATAATATAAAGCTGATAAGCGTAAACCTGGGGAAGCTTGATGATAAACAATTTTGACGCGTATTTGCGTGGTGCATATCTGCAACTGCGTTGTCAAAGGAAATGATAAACAAGTTATTGACCGAAGTATTGGTGAACGAAAGTTCCCTACAAGCGTTTTGTCATCGGTTTGAGTGACTCGCCGAATGCCTAGCTGGGGGATTTTCGATAATTACGCGTTTTATTGGCGAGGATCGGGGTCGAAGGCCTCAATTTCGCTGATGAATAATAGAAAAGTGATCTGAAGAGAAGAAAGAGAGAACGCGATCGATATTTTCGCAGAAAAAGTGTGAGGATTTTTCGTTTTCAATATTGGCAGGAGTGATGTGTTTCATTAAATAAGCGTCAATGGCGCAAATAAATTGCGTTAGCTATAAATCCAAAATATTAAAGGTCGATGTTATAGAAGGCGATAAAATTTAGCATTGCGCAGATAATAGGTAACGTGAAACGTTAATGGAGCGGTTTTTGAGCCGGTGAACATAATTACGGTTTTCCTAACGATTACGTCGTGGAAATAATTAATTATTCGAAATTTCGCAGTTACGCATGTCATTCATTAGTGCACTGTTCAAAGTAAACAAGCAATAATTTTAATAATGCGAAATTACGTGGAGATGTTATCGGGCCAATAAACAAATTAGCTTTTGTTTGTTTAATTTATTAGGTAACTCCGTCCTGGAAAATAAATATACAAGCTTCAAACCCTCCTTTATTACGGCCAGCAAAAATCGTGGGTGTACTATAGATTAGCAAATTGCAATAATAAATGATGATGTGCTCGGAGCGAACTCAGAAATCAATATCCGAACCTTAAACACATAATAGGCAGATAGCTTCCAGCAAAATTGCAGCTTTTGCACAAAGGACTAATAATGCATATTATTTTCTCCTAAAATCGCTATTATCACACATTTTTAGTAAAGTTCTTTTAGACACTCTACACCCTCGTTGAGCTCGAAATAGATTACAGGCAATTTTCTTCGACATATAATACTATAACCACCGTCAACAACCAAGAGACAAATCGTACTTTTCTTCATAATAACACTTTTTTTTTTGTTCTAAACTAACAATATCACCCCTACGATTTTTGTATCACATTTTCACCTCACTACAATTAATTTATGATGAATCCAATGACATGAAACGTAGCTAATAACATAGAGATACGCAATCTCTAGGATTTTTGGAACCGTTTTAATTGTTCTATTTCCGCATCTGGAACTGTGGTATTTTATTGCGGTTCTAAATGTAGCACTTGAGCATTCACCTCAATGAGCTCTTGTCTAGTCACATTAAACTCGGAACGGTGCTGCGGAACATAATCTGATAATTCAACGGCAACCACATAAATGACGGTATTTGGAACTAAGATTTCGATACTGAAACTTGCGGGAACAATTGAAGCAACCGACCAAGTATGAATGAACGTGTAAACCAGTTTCATATAGGTCCAGCTCCGTGCGCTCTTCCATGTAACTATTCCACATGCATTTTTAATGTAACACTGTAACTACTGGAACTAAGCCAAAATCAAAATACACACCTACGGTGTACACTTTATACCAACAAGAACACCATTTGGTAATCAATAATTTTCAGCCTAAACTATAACTGCTAAATTGCTATACTAATCCGATACCAAAAAAGGTAACTATTGGTCATTTGACACAATTGACGTCTGCACACTTTCAATTTCCGAACGTTAAATACATAAAACGCAGGATATTTTTAACAAAGTTCCTTCAGATGTTTCATACTTTTGTTGAGTTGAAATGGCATGTAGATATTTATTTTAACACATAAAACTGCAACTACTATCAATAACCAAAAGAAAATCGTAGGTCTTTCTTTAAAATAATATCCTGGTTTTTGCGATCTATATTACAAAAAGCACCTCAGATAAAATTTCAAAGTAAAAATATTTGTTCGTTTGGTTATGCGGACATTTTAGCTTGTACTCCATCACTAGACGAATATGCGTCAGACGTAATAAGCATGAATCATAGCTATTCTATTACATTAAAACGACCGTATCGTTTTCTTACTATTTTGAAACTATATACAGAGTAATTTTGTTGTAAAATTTATTCCGAGTACCAATCCATTATATATTTTCTAGTAGGTCAAATTTAATGAATAGAATTTGGACTTTACATAAAGTTAATTAGTAAAACTTGGGTTTGGGCCTCGATTTAGCAGGAACCTTCCTTGATATTGCAGCAGGAAGTGTAATAACTGGATATGTGGCGCAGTACGGATCAGGAGAAAAAATGTGTACAAACAAGTATAAAATGAGCACAGTAAAGCCACGAACTGTGGATAAAAGTATAATGGAGAAGTAAGAAAGCTCTTTTCGGTATATTTCGCGCAAAATGAAAAGGCTTTCCTGGGGTGTTTCATTATCATTAATGTCCCCTTAATGTAAATTGAATGACGTATTGACCAAATAACTTATTTTTATATTGTAACGCAAAACCATATGCGTGTTAAATGATATAGTATGATTAAGTTTAAGTGTTTTGCATATATCGATTATTCTAATGGCGTGGCAACATTAGCCGTATTTTATTCAGCGTAGGCTAAAATAAGTTGATTTAATATTAACACATAATGAACGAATGAGTGCGCATTTTTGCTCGTTTGCCTCGAAAATTTTAAGTTTTTAATTGAACGCAAAACCAGCACCTGCCAAATTGAAAATTCTTTTTAATTTGTTAATGAGAGCAGACAAGATGAGGGCACTTGTTCTGTTTACATATCAATGAATGTTATTTTTAATGGAAACGTGGTTTACTTTCCACATTTATTCGTCGAAAAACGAAACAAAATATCACGACTCCTACACGAGTTGTTTTTACGTTTGGCCTGAGGAGAAATGTAATTTTTTTGCCGTTTATATACATTCATTATCGTTATGATTGTGAAAAATGTGATTTATAACCACCCTTTATCCGCCTCGCTGAGCACTGGAATGCTGGATATGATTAGATTCGCGGAGATGAGGATAAATACAGAATTTATTTCATCCTAGTGGATCGTTTTATTTTGATCTAAATCTAATTTTGACCGTCTTTAATAATGCACATTGTTGAGTTCATCTGTGAAGTTGGATTTCATAATTCGATAAATAATAAACAGAAAATAAAATCGATAACAAGTGCTCTTCGCTTGAATAACCCAAACCGAAACAATAAATTTTGAATCCAAGATATTAGAAATTGTAGGTATTCTTTGTGGAAACGATTAACGATTTGATTACTTTGACACACGTCACGTGATCGAATCGCTTTAAAGAGGGGAAAAAATCCTAAAGCGAAGCTGTTTCGCTTTCGCGCAAATATTCCAAAAATGCCAATTTTTAACACACCTCTGCAGGAAATTCAAATTAAACCGCCTGTATTCTCGGAATAACTATATTTCGTTACGAGACGTTCCAGAAACAAGCAATATTGCTTTGAAGTATGCGATTTTACATAATTCAATTTTCGTTTTATCGAGTTTTTCTTTTAAAATGAGAAATAAGACAACGCACGCCCAAGTTTCGACGATATTGTCGAAATGAATAGCTATTTATTAGTTGACGTTTGACGTTTCACACGAAAGGCCGGTCATTTTTACCGACCGGTAATGGAAACGTCAAAATTCAGCTTTTATATGCAGTAAGGACGACTTTCGACCGTGTTTTCACCCTCGTTTTACCCTTCTAAAGTGATGTTTTCCCCACATATTGCAAACAATGTACAATATTTTACAAAGAGATGTTTATAACAATGTAGGCTTCTGTTGCGGATGTGGAGTTTTTCGACGATTTACAGTGAATTTAATTTTGACTTTACCTCATATAATGTTGTTTACGAGTTTTATTAAAGGAATAAAAATCTCTAACAAAATTTATTAACATTGTTCAAAACACAAAGGCTGCCTCATACACTCCTTAAACTGATGGACCTGCTTCTATTTTTAGCGCAAAAAGAAACGATTCGAACGTCGCAACGTACCAATCGCATAAATTATAACAATATTGTAATACCATACAAATCATTGGCTTTAACGCTTCTACTGCATGCAACTTTTTTGCTAAATACGTTGACGTGCTAAATTTAGTAATCACGTGGTATTACTGCTAAGTACGAAATATTAATTAAGCTATAAATTTATAGAAATATATTTCTGGCGATAAGAGTTAATATCGACATAAATTTCCGTATTTTATTAACGATGGTTATCATTTAATAAAATTAATTCTAATTTTAGACTAAAATACATTTGCAGAGCTGGGTATAATAATTATTCGTAAAATGTGTGTCGAATGTATTATGTGTTGCATAATAAAAGTGTCAAGGCTCGTCAATTTTGGTGTGGAAAGCGAAATACAATTTGCCTTTTCCAGCGAATGAAACTACAACACATTTTAATGTAGAATAACAAATGTGACACATTAAGGACAAAGATGATAGAGTCATAAATATGAACTAAAAAGGAACGGGGGTGTGAGACCTTCATTTTAATATAAAATAATATTTTAATGCGTCATAATCACATGTACACCAAAAGATCAACTGCAATTTTAATTACGGTTTTTTATCGCATAGTATTCATATGCGGGCTGATTAAACACCATGTGCTATTCAAAATTTATCTTTATTAAATATTTCGGCGAGTTGTCGTAATGTTGAAAAAAGTGTTATAAAACAATAAATACAGGAAAAGCATTTAATTTTGCAACTTTATATTTTCCAGTGCGATTCAGACAAATTAGCTAGTATCGCCATAAACAGTGTGATGTGACGTGATTTCCACAGAATAATACAATTCAAAGTGAAACTCTATTTCAAAGTCGTTTATATGCAAGTATATTATAGGAGTCGTAAAAATTATAGCTGTACTTTGACAACGCCAATTGTCCGTTTCTTTATATGTCTATCTGGGTTTACTAAAAAAAGATAAGACCGTATACAGAGTTTTTCGTTCAATGACGTTGACAATATAATAAGGTGCGATCAACAAAAAGCTTCAAATTGGCGCTTAACGAGCAACAACGAAAAAGACAGTTTGCTTGTTCAACGCCAATTTTTTTTCGTACTTGTTTTATACATGGTATCATTTTGGAAGGAGGAAAATTTTCAAAAACTTCTGACACGTGCATTTTTTTATCAAGTTTGTATGAGGGGTCAAGCTCTATTTGAAATCTGTCAGATAATGGCCTCAGTTAATTGACGCAATGAGGCTAATGGCGATATGTTTATGATGAAGATCAATCGAGCTTAATTTTTTTCCTTGTTATGAAATAAGTGGACAGGGAAAAGACGGCAAGTTAACACGATACTCACACGAACTGTTTAGGTCGAGACAACTCTAATCAGTTGTTTACCAAGACTGTAGAATTCAAATGAATTGATCCCAATCAAGCAAATATAAATAGTTGTTGTTTTCCATATTTCCTGCGATCGTAAGATAAAAGAATCGTTAAATTTGGGGTCCGGTGAAAAAGCCAACAATGAGGGTCCACCCAAAAAGAGCAACCTTTTTGCAGCAGTGCATAAATTAGGGCTAACGACCCGCAACCAATTAGGCAAAGACCCTCATAATCTCAAGTATGACATTACCGGAAAGTTTACCGCTCACAATTAGAGAATAGTTGGCAAACGTCTTGCAGTCGACCGCATCAGAAATAAAAAGTTCGAAACGAAACGGGTTTGGCTGTTGCGTCGCTTTAAAGTGACATGAAAGTTCCAAAGTGAAATTAAACTTGGAACTTCAACTCCGCTTGGTGTTAAACCATCAAGGAAATTATTTTATTCAGACGAGTGCCAGTGGCCATTGTAAAATTTCGTATGTGAAATGAACAACTCAGTGACGCATTTAATTAATTTCGCACCGAAGCTGCTAAAACGCCCAGAGGTTTCAAATAAACAAAATAAAAGCGCGTTTTCGTCGCAAAAAAGCGGCCGAATTTAACGGAGCTTTCGATGGGGATTCCCAGATACAGGAACCAGTCACGAAAGTTTACGTGCATAATAACTCAGTATGAATTAAATTAGTGCTATTTATACGTACGTGTCTTAGTTCGGGCTTCTTGTGTCAGGGACGCCCCAAATTCCGCGGTCAAAAAGGGTTACGGTCCTGCGACCAAGGGAGCACGAGTGCGGCTTTCTGCGGCAAAGTTTGCGAAGAATTTGAAAAGTTTGGGAGTCCGGGCGTTAGCAGAACTGGCGCAGCAGCGCGGATGATGCAAAACTTTGCGGAAGAATAGTTTTAGGCTCGCGATGCAGCGAAAACGTGCTGAGAGGAATAGCGTGCTTATGTAAACAAGATCGATGTTTGCCGTAAAAGTGTTAAAACTGGCGTGTTGACGGGTACGATACAAAAACACATGGCGTGTGGTGTCGTCGGCTTTGAAAACTAACCTGATTAGTTCAGTTGGAAAGTGTATCAGGATCGGTGTCGCTATCCCATTCTGTGGAGCACACTATCCCGGTGGGCACTAGGCTGCCACAAGAAGCATGCCTTGGCCAGGAGGAGGCGTCGAGTTAGCAACGGCGACGGCACACGCTGACGGCGATGACTGTGCTTGCAATGTGGGGCATTAGGTACTTGTAAAAAAGCTCGGTATTGATTTCCCGTTGGTGCAGCTTGGAGAAATGTGACCTGAAAAGTCTTCAGTATACTGTACCTACTATCTGCGTTGCGCAGGTTGCGTACTTGCGGTCGTCTCTCTCCGCGTCGCGCAAGCGTCGCGATTTTGCCATCAGTATAGGGGGAATCGTTATTTTAAATGGACTATTGCGCCTGTCCTTCGACTACTTTCCTCGTAAAACATTTCGCATTATCAATTCCTATTCTTCTATTAGTCAAATCGACACTCATTAAGGACCCCCAAAGATCCCCCACTGGATAACGCGCCCCTTAATTATCGGCTCCTATCCACCACGCGCTCAAGATCGGTTCACACTTCGGACTATGTGCACTTTGGCGGTGCCACAATACCGTCTAGACTACTTTTTCTAACGCTACATCCTCGCTATTTCATCGCACTATATTGCTTATAATCTACTTTAGGTTGCTGCTCAGACGTCTATTTGACGAAACTCTCCAAAACGTAGAAGACCAAACAAATAAACTTTGTTTGAGTGCTTCGCGAGCGTCAACAGTACTTCAAACTTTTTCTCTTCATCAGTTGCAATATTGTATTATTTCTTGGGACGTTCACCCTCTCGATTCTTAACGCTCATTTTACCTTTCCTCATTAACGCTACAACGTAGCTTTCTTCCACTTAAATTGCGGTAATTCATTTTTGACAATCTAATTACCGGTTTAAGTATGTATCTTAATAACTTTGTTTGCTTCATAGTTTGCTTTTTCTCCTATATTACTTTTAATTTAATAAATTACATACAGTTTGACGTTTCTACATGCCACAGTTTTTTTTACACTTTCGTAGTGCTCGATGCTTTTAAATTTAGCATATTCGATCACTAAAATAGTTTGAAATAACAAAGGATTTAACTGAGGCTTTTAACAAATCTCGTTATCGTTAAAAATGTGGGGGCGGTCGTGTTATTCTCTAAAAGCACTGGCTAATCCCAACAATGGAGATTTTTCTTGTATCACCTTGGTCGTTCGACACATTTTAGTCGCACGTTGCCATTAACTGTGTGTTCGCATTATGCCCTACACGATATTTCGTTCGCCGTAAAGTGCGGTGGTAATATAAACAGTACTTGAGAAGCTAAGACACGATGGCTTCAGAATATCCTGGAATCCTTATTTAATGCCGATATTAGAACTCCTCAACGTATTAGGTAGAGGCAAACTTAACACTGTGGAGGATTATTTTCGTCGATCTGTTTATATTTAGTGCCTAGTTTGGGTTCCGTTCACCGACTTGAATAACGTTTGCCGAAAGTGTGAATTTTTAACAACGTTCGACGTACGTATTGTCGCCAAGAAGTGCTATTTTGATGGACGGAATTCGTTTAAAATGTTTAGCGAGCCAGAAATGATTTCAGAGAGAATTGTGGTGTGAAAAATTAGCCTCGAGTGAGAGTAAACCTACCGAAATGATGGAAGTCTCGGACACCTGCGATTCGCAGCTTTTAAAAATGATTTTTTGTTACGTGTGAAGTAGAGTGCGAAATGTGCGTCTAACTGGACTTGTACATTTTTAAATAAACAAAGTAGAAAGAATCGCCACTGCGCTCACCCGGCGCATCCACCATACGAGTTATCTCGCATTTTATTTTACACACAATCGCTCTCTTATTAGCTACGATGTCGATCTGATCCGAAAAACAATTTAATGATAAATGACTTCTTGTACACAAACCACAATACGTAATAGATTAATATAAAATTTAGTTTGACAATTTTATTAGTTTTTTAAAACAAAATATAACATAACCTTTATTGCTATTACAATTTTTTTGTGTAACTTTTTCGACAAATGTAGTAATAGCAGTTGTAATAGAAAACCCTTTTCTAAACCCAAAATGCCTAAGTGACAGCAATTTATTACTTTCTAGATATTTTACTATTTGATTCAGTTAAATCGTTTCGAAAATTTTGGAACTAATTGGCAATATAATTTCTATAACTTAAGAAAGATATGCGTGGATCATTAAACTATAGGTAAAACAGCATGCTATGCATATATTTCGAATGAATTAATTAATACAATTTTGTGACAACATCTTCAACTTTTAACCAAGGACACGTGTATTAATTTCGATGGATACAGTACAATATTGATTTTTTTTTTTTGATATCCAACGTACCAAATAAACTGGTACAGAAAATATGTTATTTTGTAACGACTAGATAAGATTTACCTTATAAAATGTAGAGATGACGTCATCAAATTCTTGGGAGGTATGATACAAATATTTCACAGCAGTAAATCTAGTACTTTTGGAGAATATATGTGTAACAACAATGTCACGTACCGCACAACGACATTTATGAACTGAATGTTTTCAAAATACATATATCAAATAAGATAGAAAAATTATTTTTATTAAAAAAAATGGTACAGATAAATTATTGTTAGTGTTTTACAATCTACGCCAGGGTTTCTCAAACTACAAGTGGGCTCGGGGACTGACTTGGTGGCATAAAACGGCGTATAGCATTTACTTGAAGATTCGAGTCAAACAGCTGTGAGCCCAGCTGGCAGCTCACGGCTACTGTGCGCAGCCGATCTAGAAGCCTGGTTAGGTAGGGGAGGATCTAATCGAATATTGTCAACTATAGTCCGTTTACTGAACAGCTGGAGTGATCACGTGTGTTTCACGTGTCTCAAAATGAGCGTCCAAGTTTACATAACATCAAATTCGAACGTCTAAAAAGAAACTTTATAAGGGATTAAGTATGGAAAACAAATTCTCATATGTTTCTCCCACTTCTTTCCAGTATCTGATTCCTCCACATTATAATCACAGGCCCGACTTGGTTTTCTATTCCAAAACAAAGTACGAGTCTTTTCTTACGAATCAGCGATTAAAACAAAAGACAAGAAAAACGAGAGAAAATTGAAAATAAGCAAGTACAATTTGTTACTGTACAAAAGTGGCCGTGCCTAATTCAACTCCCGACCAATAATACTAAGGTTTTAAAAGATTACGTGAAGATCATGCACTTTTACAACTCTATCTGTTCGGTAAACGGAGCATAACAATAACACCGTTAGCGATATCGGGACGATCGGAACTAACGACGGGGCAGTGTTACGCAATAAACCCATACTCCGCCCTGGTACGAACCTAAGAGTTTTCTAGTATGTGCGGCGATGACGGGTGACTCATCGTCGGCGACGGCGACCGGACGGCGTTCAACCTGGAAGTGAAAGTCGCGCTGGGTGCTCCAGAACAAGCCTAGAACTGGTGACGGCGAGATGTTAAAGAAAAAATCCTGGAATCACTTCTTTTTACTTGCAAGATTTCAGAACATTTGCAGTTTCAAAGCAAAATTGCAAAATATTCTTGTACAATTTTGATTTTTTTATCCAAAAATGTGTATCTAAGATAAAACATAAAAACGGTTTCGCAAATTACAGGTAGGGAAGTTTTAGTAGGGATGATCAAATAAGTATAAATAATCAGTCCAGTAGTTTCGGAGCTTGTCTGTCTAATAAAATCGCCAGCAGACGACAAACAAAAGAAAACGGGGACCTGCTTTTTCACACTCTGGGGGTGTAAAACGTGGACAAAACATGAAATACCCGTTTACATAGTGAACCCTATTACAAGCGTAAATGAAAAGTGGAAACAGTGGGTTGAAAATAGTTACCACCTTAGTAATTATGCTGTTAGTATTATGTACTATCCTTTTTATTTCATATCGATATCTTCACTAACAGACGAAACAAAAAGATATGTGTGACCTTCGATTTTTTCCATCACCCTATTCTAGATTAAAATATATTTGTCTAGACTGAGGCATCCAGCAGTTACCAATACTCCCTGCTAGTCTTTTTATATTTTTATATTACTACTTTGTTTTGAGTGTATTGATCAAGTTATCCCTCACAAGGAGATTGCAAAAATTATTTTTCATATTTTGGCCGGGAAATTGCACATTTTCGGGATTAATTTAATAAAGTTTAAACAAATTGATTTGTTTTTAGTAACTTTGTGTTTTTAAGGAAATGGTGTTCAATTTAATTAACATATATTATCGTATTTAAACATTATAAATAATATTCATTATGTTTAAATATTATTTAACTATATCGTGAAAATTTATAGCTTTAATCGACCAAGTTCAATCGTTTCGAAAAATTCCCCAAAATTTAAATTTTGTCGAGTAAACGAATCACGAAACCTGATAAATTAAAACTGAAGTCGTACTTACCCTGTTTTTGGTCCTTTTCGGAAAAATATCCATTTTCTTTCGTGTTCACCGCAATAACACAACACATTTTCCCTAATATTTGTTAATAATAAATTAAAAATTCGCGAAATTGCTCTACTTTTACGTCAAAACGACGCGACGATCTTGTCGCCATCAAACAGAAATTAAAACTGAACACAAACGACCGCAAAACGTGACCTTTGGACAGGTAGCTCACGTGACCTAACAATATTTAAACAAATTGTTTTCGGTTTGATTATCATATTAATACTTACCATATTTGAACATTATAAATAATATTAATTATGTCTACATTTTATTTAATTATATCGTGAAAATGTATTGCTTTGACCAATCAATTTCAACCGTTTCGAAAATTTTTTCAAAATTTAAACATTGTCGAGTAAATTAATTACGGAACTTGATACCCTGTTTTCGGTCCACTTTCGTTCATGTTCACAGCACATTTTCACTAGTATTTATTAATAATAAATTAGAAATTCGTGAGAAGAAGTCTACATATAAGCCAAAATATTTTGCCATGTGAAACATGTTTTCAGTGACGGTGTTGCTCACAGAAAACTATATGTATTAACAAAAAAACAAAAAGAGAGAGATAAGCCCTTAGATCATATAATAAATAGATACCAATACTCAAACTGAAAGGTGTGACTAGACATGAAGCTATCTGTTGTCGTTTTCTACATCCAGTGGAGTAGTATAATGCTATCCTTGTGTGATCACCACATCTTCATCTTTGTTATATGCATTTCATCTGTATATGTCTATTTCACTTCCATCCTT